GCAGTTATAGCACATTCATAACCGTCACAACAGCCTTCTTGTGATCAAGCTTTTCCGCATTTTGCTCTAGCTTTTCGTCCGCCTTCCAGTCCCGTGCTCAGTGATCTATCTTACTACTCTATTTCCTTTGCCTCGAGCGTTTCAGGTCGTGATGGCTGCCCTGCCCGGTTGCGGCCTCAAACCTTCGGCGTCTTTTCACATTACTCCGATCGGATCGCCTGAAGGACCAATTATGGCTTTGCCAACGGTGCCCACCACCATCCACGACCCCGCATTCGAGTTCCTTCCTCGGTGTAGGCACGTAGTCGTTTGCTTTCTTATCGTTTTGCTGCGACCCTAGGTACCCGGATTGGTGGAGCATGAAGGTCATCCAGGAGGCTCGGTCGTAGTCATCAGCGAATTGCGAGCGTTCTGAATGGCAGGTCCACCGGCGCGAACTCGCCTTCTTGGCGACCCTGAATTCAGGCCACGCCGGGACACGCGTTAGAAGGTTTGTAGACTTGGATGCGTTGCCGCCGCCCGTGCAAGGCAAATAATTCCACTAGAATATGCTGTTTTATTTCGATATATGTTTGGGAATATGTAATTTTCGATGATTCTACGTCTTGGATCTTAGAATCTATATGAAGTCATATGATCGATATAGAAATATAATTCTTAATTTGTCCGAGTTGGGAGACTTTATTTGGGTGATTTCATAGATTTTAGTAATGTATTAGGATTATAAGGAAATATAAAATATAAGATGATTTATTTTTCTGAAATTGTTGAATTTTTGAAAAGGTCTATAAATTGAATAAAATTTGAATAGAACTGAAAATATGAAATCTTAATAATGATTCGTAGGCTTGAGTAGCTAACGGCGTATTTTTTTTTAATAAGTCTTATTATTCTTATAGGAAATGACGTTTAAGATTAATCTTATTATATTTTATTTATTTGAATGATGAAATAAATATATCTATGATTTTTATATATTGATATTTGCTTCTTCTATTTTAAATAAAGATATGTTTTTATTATGAGTTGATAGAAAATTTAATATATAAAAGTATAGGTCGTCGTTAGCCATCGTTATTGGTAATGGCGGGAGTCTATATAATTAAGTCTTGATTTTTGAATAGATATAATTTTTTTTATAGGGATAGGGATCTGTTTTGCCCCTTATTAAATACGGAATATATTTGAATATGAATTGGCGAAAGAATTTTATTATTAGACAATAAAGGAATATATGTCGGCCGTTTATTATTTATTATCGTAAATATTGGAACTACTTTAATATATATAATATATCTTTGGTTGATAGTTCTGCTTTTAAAATAATAATTTTATTTTACAATTTCTATTTGATTTGCCTAGATTGATATTATTTATAATATTATAATATATATATAGGAAAAAATTAGTAATTACCGATGTTATTTATATCTTAGGTATGCTCCTAAATTTAAGTATAAAACTACATTTCATAAATATTATACATAATGAATATTTTTCCGATGTCATAAATAAATTCCTCCCAGATAAATATCTATCTTATCTTAAAATTCTTTCTGTAAAATTAAATTAGAATGGATCTATTGGTTCTATTAGTAGGTGATCGGCGAGCGATATAAGTTATATTATAATTGATAAGATATATTCGAGAATTGCAAGTAAGATAGATATTATTCTTTATTATTTTAATTGTTCAGAAATATGAATAATAGAGCAGTGGTCGTAATTAAAAAATTATATCTTATAAGAGCGTCAGAAAATATTCAGAATTACGAGATATATTAAGAATCGCCATAATAGAAATATCTATCTCTAGATATTCTAGGATCATCTGAATTTATTGACAGGCTATTGCTCCGTTTTCTCTCTGTGGCTAGCACGTTTATTTGACTCCGGCACCAAGGGCTGCTGCCGGATAAACATAGTAGGAGGCACCGAGCTATGCACCCATGCATGCAAGTAGCAATAAAGAATAGAACCGCTATTTCCAAATAGCGAGTAGTTGACGATTAAGACAAATTTCTAATAACGTAAATTTTCCGTCGATCCATGACGAAGCGGAGAAAAAGAGACCCAGAGAAGATATAAATCTAGAGAGAAAAGATATAAAGAAGAGATGTAAAAGCACAGAGGGAGATATAGAGGTCTAGATTCAGAGAATCAGAAAGAGAGAAAGAGAGAAAGAGAGAGATAGAAAGAGAAATACAAAAATAGAAAGAGAGAGAGAGAGAGATTTAGAGAGCGACAGAGAAAGAGAGAGAGATAAAGATAGAGAAATCTAGAGACAGATGTCGAGCGATAAGGAGACATAGAAAGGAAGAGACAAAGATATGGATATAAAGATCTAGAGAGTGAAACAGAGATAGAGAAAGAGAGAGATATATATATATATCAGACACAAAGATCCAGAGAGTCCTAGAGACACAGAGAGAGAGATAGAGAGACGCAAAGATATAGATCTAGAGAGAGCGAGAGATATAGAGATATAAAGAGAAATATAGAAATACAGAGAGAGAGAGAGATAGAGAAGAAGATATAGAGAGAGATAGGGAGAGATAGACAGAGATAGAGAGAGAGAGAGAAGGAGAGAGATAGAGAGAGAGCGTCAATATCAAAGAGATCGAAAGATAAAGAGAGAGAAAGAGAGAGACAGAGAAATATAGCCGCCCAGAGAAAGATATAAAGAGAGATACAGAGATTCAGAGACCCAGAGAGAGATATAAAGGTACAAAGAGAGACGCAGAGATACAGAGAGAGAGAGATATAGATAACAGAGATTGAGAGAGATAGGGAGACAGAGAGAGAACGATATAGAGAGAGACAGATTCAGAAAGAAATATAGAAAGAGAGAGAGAGAGAATGAGCGAGATAGATAAAGATAGAGAAAGATATAGAAAGATAGAGAGAAGCAGAGAGAAAGAGATCTAAATATAGATACGGAACCAGAGAGAAAGAGAGATATAGAAAGAGAGAGATATTGAAATACGAAAGAGAGAGGGACAGAAAGAGAGAAAGCAAAAAAAAGACGATTTTCAAAAATATTCAAAAAATCAATTTTAAGGCACTTCTAGGGCGTTTTATTCTATTGGAAATTTCTAATCTAATTAGAATATTGTAGATAATTTCGAAAAATAATAACGTTCTATAAGCGCCGCAGAATATCTTTAAGGCAATGAAATACGATCAAAATCTATAAATATAGAAATATATTCCAATAAATCTTTATAAAGGCATTCTACGATGATATAGAGATATATTTATTATATCATATTTGAGTCTTACATAATCAATATAATCAGATTACGAATCAAGATTCGTGATATTACACAATTATTTTTAACAAGATGATGATTGTTTGCCAAAACCATTATAATTATTATTCTGTCGCGCGCTTTCGGATCTAGAAGGTTGGTTACTCCGTACCGTCTGCTGCGTCCCATCCCATCCCCTCCGTCCCGTCTCTTCCGTCCCGTCCCCTCCCCTCCGTCCCTTCCCTTCCGTCGAATGCTTTCTGCCGACGACCACGTAGGCAGGTGGAGCGGAGCGTTTCTAATCTGGCCGAAGGCATCTTCACGTCCGCCTCGTCGGTGCCTACGCCTTCTGTGCGCTATCACAGAGTTCAACTCGCGGAGAGAACGAAATAGCATCTATATCCACTCCAAGATAAAGCTAACATGCTCGAACATTGCAAGCGGTGGGACAAGGTGCCTCGAAAATAAAGCGATCCCAATTCGCGACGAGAACCAAACGGCGTCTATAGTCATTCTCAAAATTTTCTAGAAATTTAGGATCTGAATTTCTGCCAACAATTAGAGCCGAACAAGACAGCAAGCCTAAGATTACAAATTTCCGAGAAATTTAGAGGCGAGACGCTCCCCCAAGTCGTATGAAAAAATAACGCTACAAAACGCAATTCCCAAGGCCCCAAAAGTCCGAGAGATTTACGGTGCTAGTAGATATATTCGCAAAAGCCTCCCGAAATATTGGCCCGGGAAAGTAACCATACGAAAAAAAAAGATAAATTACAACGTTTAATTGTATAGAATAAATAAAAACCCAAATTCATTATACAATTACATATTTGTCGATTATAATTTAAAGAAATTCTTTTCATTTATATATCGAAAACAGAAATAAAAATAAAATACTCAAATAAAACAATATATCACTATCAAATTATATATACATAATATATAAATTCACGAAATTAATACCAAAGTATAGAATAAAAGAATAGTAGAGAGAAGCGCGAGTACGACGGAAAATCATTATAGAAGTCGAGCAGAAATTAAATAAGTGCCAGTTTGCACACCACCTTCCAGTAAAACAAACGAAGAAGACCGCAACCTCCCGACCCTTACAACCCCCCTTAAGTCCCCTGTGAGCCCCCAACAGACCGGGGCCAGACTCTTCCGCGTTTTGGCGTTTCCGACCCTCGCGCCCGAAATACGGAAGAATTTGCATCCCAACCCATAAGCCCCTTAAGCCACCTTCTCTGCAGACCCCCAGCAGGCTCCCTGCTTCCGAGATTCGGCGGTTCCGAATCCTTGCCTACACGCTCATCCACCCTCTTACCCCTTATAAGCCCCCCGAATAACGCAATTCAGAAGCCTCACCTATGAAATCACACTAGCGTAATAAATAAATATCGATTCAGCAGAACACCAGCCGGAACCGAAATAATTATTCATATTATTCCTTCAAACCTGAAGAACCCCATTTAATTCAATACAAACTTTCAACTTATATTTCCAGAGTTCATAATGTGTACATGTCAATATAAACAAATCTTCTGTAGCTGCATGAAAAATACATGCTTCTATACAAGTTGTACAGCAGATCAACTGGTGAAAACTCATCATAGGTTTTCAGTATTTTGAAACTTCGACAGAGATTCCAATATTTGTATGTTCCACTCCTTGCCAGCAACCTTGCAACCGCAACACAACGCAACTCCTCTTTTTTTACTTAGGTTGGATCTTGGCATGTCCAATTGAAAAGCTTCTCTCCCCTGCCCAAGAACGCACAATCTTGATCTGGATTGCCACATCGGCAGAAGTGCTGATGGACATAAGGCAAGTCGGAGAAGCTGAGGCACTCTTTGGCCTGTCGACACCGCAGATCGTCAGCAGATACGTGATGCTAATCATGACGGTGCTTGGGGAAGGAGCCGAGAAGGGAAGGCAGGAAGTACGAGAAAAAAAGAAAGGCTAACATGCGGCATGTTCTGATCGCCAGCGATGAAGGCTAACTATCCTGCAAGCAGCACGCAACACGGTTTCGCTTTTGCTGTTGCTGGATTGGCGCTTGAACGACGGCGCCAAGTCCAACCTACACAACTCCGATGCTTCTTCGTGCAGCTCCGTTGAGCCGGCGAAGCAAACTGACATCCCCGCAGACAGTATATTAGTATATTTTTTTGGCAATATTTTCATAGTAATATACCGCAATTTAACATGCTTTCGGGGGAGGGTCCAACTCCTTGACGGCCATGGGGGAGAACGCTGCGATCTCACTCTCCCACGTTCTGCCGCGTGTTCCAGACCAAAACAATATTGGCAACAGCAGTAAGAGAAACTCCTGTCATAATTGCACTGTACCGGGCGGTCGGATTTCAGACAGCGAAATCGAGCTATGGGTGGAATGCCGAGCAACCACAACAATCTCGGTAGTACTGTACTAGCAGCAGTGCTAAGAACGACGCAACAATCCTAGGGCCATGGTGAACGTGGCAACAGACATATCCAAGCAATTCGAGGGGGTCCAGTGCGCATTCTTTCCAGTTTCGGCTAAGGCTGCTCAAGCATCCTAATTAGAGCAGTACACCGGGCATGCACTGTCACAGCGAACACTAGGCTTTAGGTAGAAACCCTGAAGCCCCAACCCTGAAACCCTACAACCCTGAAGCCCTAAAACCTAAACCCTAAAATTCTAAACCCAAAAGCCCTAAACCCTAAAGCCTAAACCTCAAGCTTAAACCCAAAAACCCTCAACCCTCACCCTAAACCCTAAAACGCAAACCCTGCACCCTAAACCCTAAAACCCTAAGTCCCCAACCCTAAACCCAAACCCCTAAAACCCGAACCTTAAACCCTGAACCCTGAAAACCTAAAACGTAAATAAACCCCAGACCCTAAACCCTGAACCCCCAACTCGAAACCCTACAACCCTGAAGCCCGAAAACCTAAATCCTAAAACCCAGAAGCCCTGAGCTAAGGTTTCGGGTCTAGGGTCTGGGAGGGTTTTGGGGTTTGGGCCACTTGGCGAGCGCACACTCGACCTGGTGACTTAAGCCTTTCCTCTGCCATCAGCGAGCGCACGCTGGACCCTGTAGCGAACGAATGCCTTTTCGCGAGCGCACACTCGACCCCGCCCCCCAAGCAATGGCACAAATAGAGGAGTCCTTTGAATATTCATATTGACGGTGACGCTGATAGTGGGTTCCTATAGCGGACAAACATCCATGCTGGAAAAAGTAGTACTGGTCCCCAGCAGTACGTGTGACAGGAACGAAGGCGACAGCAACACTGACGTTGGCAATGAACAAGGCCTCGAGCATCAGCCATGCTTGAACGCCCCTGATAGCTGCATCGCCCCATCGATAGAGCCACCAGCCACCCCACTCATCAATCCAATCCTTGACAAACACACGCAAAATCATTTCAAAACAAGTCTCTGCTCGAGGCTGTCACTCGCGATTGAGAAGCAGGCTGTGAACCTTCGCAAAGCACTCGTCCGAAAACTGGCAATGTCCAGCAGCAGGAAGTCGGTGAGAGGTACCTTGCCTTTCCATGTCGGTGTCCCGAACGGGAGCACTTGCCCTCGATCCAAGCCAGACGTAACAGTCAACAGCCGTTCGTAGTATTGGCTTCTTTCGGGCGGATCAAAGCCCTCTGCAAAGGCACGAGCTTGGTTGGAAACTCCGCCCTCCTGCACTCTCGGATGACAAAGGTCTCTCATCCGCTGATGGGGCTTGTTGTCGCTGCTGCTATGGTTGTTGCCGCATTGTCGCTGCCGTTAGTATTGCTGCTGTTGAATTGTGAGACGCTGATGATGATACTGACAGTGACGATGGCTATGGTTGCAACGACGATGATCGTGATAGTCAGGATGTTGTGCTGTTGCAGCTGCTGATGTTACTGTTTGCTGTCATGCTCTATGTTGTTGTGGTCGTTGATCGCTTTGATCGTCGGGGGGCCAATGTGAGTCAGAGGCTTGACTTCGCACCTTTCTCACTTGAGGTCTTTGCCCTTCAGGTTTTCAGGCATGATTGCATTCTGGCTGGCCAGCGATTCGGAACCCATGGACAACGGCGACTTGCCGCCACCACCACCGCACTTGATGCTGCTAGCATCCTTATCGGCTTCCTACTTGTGCTTGACTGCTGTCCTGAATCCTGGCGATTCGATTAGATTCAACGATGCCGATGCTCACTGCTTCTGCTTAGAAACTCTGTAGTTTCCGCACCAGCACGTTCGGCCTCCTTCCTGATTTGCCTACCTGTCTGCTGGATCAGGATCCCGGTTGACAGTGAGCGGAGGAGTCTTGTAGAAGTGATCCCCTGTTTCAAAAGCCCTCATTTCAATCAAATTCAGGCCTTCGTCTAAAACCCTCCACCCTGAAACCCTAAACCAAGGGCTACATTTTCGCTCGAAGTGGGTCTTTGTAAAGCTAACTGGCGCTCCTCTTCTTCCAAGGCTGCCGGCGGCCGGCCCTTACTTCCTCCGAGCTCCACGGCCTCGAAGAGCAGCGCAGCATCGAAGAGGTTTTTCACAAGAGGGGAGTCTTCGTAGCCGGTGTGGGTGTAGCCAAAAATGGCACCCGCGGCGTTCATCTCCTTGGCGAACTCATGCGGCACCTGGCCGGTGAAATAGGAGTCCGAGTCCATCCACAACATCCATCGAGAGCCCCGCAATGCTGGCTGATCCAGGACATAGGTCGCCTTGAATCTGCACATTAGACGATACCCCGCACGCAGACCTGCTTCTGGAAGCCTGTCTGGACCATAGGGCGGCTTTTCTGGCTCACGGAAATACCGATCGATGTTTGCAAACCATACCCGATTTCGCGAAGCATTCCGAACCAGCGCAACATCGCCCTGCGTCAGATTCTGGTGGAAGACCAGCACAGGGTGGTCCCACTTCCAGTTGAAATTATCCCACCAGTTGGGCAGTACGAAAAGCAGTTCATCAATACGGCCGCCGGAAGCCATTGTCACCATCATGAGATCATCGTGTCCTTTTCCACCAGGTTCGCCTGCAGATGTAAATCTATTTCCGATAACCTTCCCATGCGATAGACACCCCGGTCTGAGAGGCTTCACGATTCCGGAAGCTTTGCAAGCTGAGAACCGTCGAATTCCGAACAAGTAATACGCCCCAAGATATGCAAAAGCTGAAGCTAACCCGCCAGCCGGCAGGACTCACCTCGTTCAGATGCTAGATCAGGTCGATGGCACCGTGCTCCCCGCCATGGGGGAAAGCATTCCTCGGTTCAAGCCCAGGTCTCCCTGGCTCTCACAAAAAATCTCCTCGTTTTGGTCCAAAGCAGTTTCGAAGCTGTCCAAGCTGCACAGAAGCCCTCCTTGGGAAGGCAGTGCCCACGGGAGCCAATCGCATGCTGCCCTTGCAGAGAATGGAAGACATCAGCAAAGTACGCTGGCAGAAACTGCGTTGAACATACAGCTCCACCAGCTGCGCACTGTCTAGGGTTCCAAAAATATCACCTGGTATCTCGTCTCAGTCCCAGCGTTGCTGCAGGAGGCATTTCAAACGCTTTTTGCCTGGATGAATCACAAGAACAACAAACGTGGTCTTCTCAAGTGTGGATGCTCCTGAGATCAAACCGGACACATAAGACAAAGACACGCCAATCAGGACAGAGGCAAAGGTCAAGTTACACGGCAACCGCTGCCTGATGTGGACCAGAGATGACGTGACCGACCGTCTGATCTGACTGACTTTGTCACGTTCTCTTACATGTAGCAGCTCTGGCTGGAATTTCTTATTCTCCATTTCCCGGTTCGGTTGGCCCTCGGTCAACTTTTCTTATCTCTCGTACTCCAGCCGCTTTTGTACTCCTATCTCTCAACTTGCCCTGATGGCCCGGTGCAACATTTTGCTCCCTTCCCTCTGCTTCATCACTGGGTTGGCTCCGTTTTCTCCCGTGCTCCGATCACTTCCTCCTGTTCCGCGTCGTCCCTCAGCTTTTCTTATCCCTTTCGCTTTACTCCCACGTCCTCCCACTTCTCCAGGCCCCTTTGCCTGGCTTGTCCCCTCTCAACTTTCCTGGCACCTTTGGAGCGCCTCGATTTCTTCTTTCAAGTTCTCATGCGCTTTTGGAACAAGGTGCTCCCATTTCATCACCTCTAATACATGCTAGCACCATGCATCAAGCTTGTTGTTTCTCTCAGGATGTTTAGCATGCTGTCCTAGGTTTGGTGGTTTCCTGTAGCTGATCTGTTGTTTTCCCTCTTTCGCGTTCTCTAGCACAGGCTCTCCCGAACGGAGTGCCAACCCGACCCTTATCAATGTCCCTGATCAACTGCTCGCTGTTTCGTTGCCCTTGCTCTCAGCCTATCCCGTCCGCGGACGAGTTGTCCCCCGTATCTCAAGTTATCTAGTCTCGGTCGAAATCTACTTCCGTGCCTCAAAGTCAATGCTTCGTTTTGATCTCTGATGCTTTCCTCCCGTTTGGTGTCTCTCACTCCACTTCTCTATACCCTCGAACGCCTTGTTCCCTTCTATCTGAATCTGATCGCTTTCGAGCGGTGTGCCCCCCGTCTCTCCCTCTTGCCGGGTAATTCCCTATCACAGCTTCAAGCTTGTTCTTCTCTCTCAGCTTCCCGAGAAGTGCAACACTAGGTCGCTCGAATTGAAGTCCCAGCATGCGCGACACGTCAGACCCCAGCTCGGGTGTAAGCGCCCAGCGACCCGGCGTATGTGGCCAGGATGCCGGTTCAAAGACCTGCAGCTCTTTCGCCTTCCGTGATTCCACTCCGTGCACCATGGCTGGTCCCACCTGGTGTGAGGTCGCTGTGCGGCACTGCGGCATGCCATCGGCATAGAAGTCCCTGCAAGATATGCATTTCCACACGTGCATTCCAACCAAAGCTTGGCCTGACTGAGCTTTGCTGGGGACAATGCTTGTTCAGGAACTGCGGCTTCTCCAACATATCCAGAGAAACTTCCGGCAAGTCCATGGCCTCAGAGTGAGGCATGCTTTTCTTGCACCTACAGGCATGGACTGATGAACAGAACATGGGCAGATGTGCAGCATACATGCACGTGCCTGTACAGGTACAGACCGGTCCATAGTGTACATACGCCTATCACACCGGCACACACACACACACACTGACAAAGGCACATCAACACCAGCACATGTAATCATGAGCATGCATCCACCCGAAGAAGCGCCTGCACACGTACGGTTCGGGTAGTTTGTACTTCTGTGGCCACGATGTGGAGGCACTGATGCACACAAACAGCTGCGCCGCCTTACGGCCCATGTACACTCACGCCTACATACATCCCACATGCCCCATACAACAGTCAAGCAAAAACGGTATGTTTATGCTCCGACTTCAATTCCTTTTAAATTTTCTGATCAGGCACGACGTAGTCCTCGCAAGGCCAAGTGGACTCGGCTAGGAACTCCGCCTGTCTTGTCACTTGGCTACACCATCCGCCATGCCACAAGCATCGCAGTGAGTGTACAAGGGCTTCTCCCGACAAGGCACTATAAACTCGGTCAAGCGAATCCCTGGATCCATGGAAGGTTGCAAGCCGGAATCCTTTCTTACAAAGACTGCCTTGGAGGGAAGGAACACTAAGAGGAGGGCCAAAATGGCCTCGCCTCTTTCAACTGTTCCTCCCTCTCCGTTGGAATCAGCTGCAAGATTGCCGGTGCGCAGCTTGCCCCGCGGTGCCAAAGCAATTCTAGAGGGGCACAAGCTTCTCCGCTCGGGATCGGAGTGCAGTACTGCCCCACCTCGCACGTCAAACACCACAAAAATCCTCCTGACCCGGTTGGCGTCGCTGTTGATAAATTCTAAATCCACCATGTATAGTCAAAAAAGCTCACATGCAAAGCAGGAGCGATAGACTTCTCCGCGAAAATGGCCCGAGCTCCGTCCACGAACAGCAGCACAAAGCGTGGTGCCATTAGATCTACCGCGCTTTGCAGGGAGCATTGTGTCAGGAAGAGGAGACGTTGCAGTTTGTGCCTGTCGGTGGGCTTGAGATCCGCCAAGCCTTTCCGCTGTGGCAAGGTCTCCTCGAAGTTTGGCATGACACGTGTCGGAGGAGCATAGAGGGGGTTGATGGACATAATGACGAGGCGAACGCTGCTTCGCACAGGAGGAATCATCTCGGCCGCATCAAAGCAATTTCCAGCCTGAGGCGAAACGACCAAAATGTCAGCCGTCCTCGGGAGCATCGAAGCACGGCCGCCCTTAGATTCTCTGAGCTGCAAGCATATCAGGCCCTAAAACCCTGCCATTGCTCCCCATCCCCAAAACTTTCTCACAAGCTCCTAATTTCTTCAAGCCGCACGCCGTGGATTCCGTACTATTTTCCCGAACTTGAAACTTGTCACTTTGCCCTCCTTGTCCCAGTCTAAACGGAAGGTTTCGTTCACCGCAGTCCCGGAAATACGGCCCTGTTCCGCACTTACAGCCGAGAAGTTGTCCAAGCCATCCACCATGAGCACGGCATCCCATCCACCGGAATCTAGCAAACACTGGACTGGATCTTGCAGTAGAAGCATGTTTGGATTCACAGTGCATCCTTCCTCGGCAAGTCGGACACTGGGAGATGACTGCAAGGCCACTGCCAGGTGTGAGCTCTCACCAAGCTTGTCCAAGAGCGCAAGGAGCCAGTGCTCGCTGTTGTGAGAGGACACGCCTTCCCACCAGAAGGCGCCTTCGAAGTCATCCGAGCTGCAGTGGGGCAACCTGAGAATCACAAAAGACCATGGCACCACGTCACTGAGACTGCTCTCCCTTGCCGAACTCTTTTGGATGAGACTCAGAGCCCCACACGAGTCTGGGCGGCCTTCCACTCATCCAGCTCGTGCCCAACCTGCTTTTAGCCGAGGCATGCACAAGCTCGGCAAAACAGGAATCTTACGCCGAGCTGCTCAGGCAGAGAAGCGGCGAGGTGCGCCAAAGAGAGCAGAGAGGCTTGAAAGGCGGCATCTGCCGTGACACCTGCGTAAGTTCGACCGATCTCGGCAAGGTATAAAGATCTCTTGGCCACATGGGCCCAAAGCTCTGCAGGTGTCAACTCCTGACTAGGCTCATTTTCACCGAAGAGGAATGGACTGATGGTCTCCATAGCGTCAGGATCCAGTTTGCAGATTCTGGTGCGAATGAAGCCTTGCAAGGACTCCGGGCCTTGCCCCCGGCACGAGCAGACTCCACCCGCAAAAGCACTGTGCAGGCTTCGGGATGCAATGTACCAAGCGCTGAATAAGATCATCCTTCTTGGTAGATCCTGCAAGCCCAGTGGCATGTTGTTAGTAACCATGGTAACGAGATCCTCGTATGCACTGATGAGCTCGTAGTCTGCCGTTCCCGGCAGTTTGTGATAAACTTGATTCTTGGTACCTTCTTCCGCCCCGACCACTGCGATCAGCAGAAGGAGCAATGCCAGAGCCATCGGAATCCGAAAATTCCAGAGCTTCATGGGTACCAGCCGGAGAGAAACACATGCGAGACAGATTCTGGCAAACTGCGCCGCAGGAAAGCCGGAGGGCGCCCCTAGCCGCCCTAGCCCTACTCCAGCAGTTGAGAAGGGGTGCACTGAGGCTATGCAACTGCTCCTCGTTCTTTGCCACCTGAGGCTCTGAGCTACTGATCTTGAAGTCTTGATTGTTCTCTGTTCTGTGCTTCGGCACGCCTGCAGCAGCTGCGCAAAGGCTTCACGCTCAACATGTGCATTGTGCATAATGTGCAGGTCATTGCAGGTAGCTTGAAGGGATTCACATAGTTACTGCCGGACTGTTGAACTGATGTTTTGTGATTGTGTTCATCGTGGCCTCTGACTCGTATTGAACATGCTCTTTGCCCACCGATTTTGGGATGTTAAATCGAAACCGCTGCTCCAATAACCAGATTGTCGGCTTTTTGTGTATCGCGAGACGTATCCAACAGCAGCCGCATTGACGCCCCATGGAATACCATGGACATGTAGCTCCCACTTTGGGGTAGCGGGAAAACCTCTTGCCGCTTCAAGCGGCCGGAGGCATGATGCAGCGCGTTGCAAAGCTTTGTTTTTGCCAATGCTCAATGGCGATGATCATGATACTAGATGATTCTGATGGGTGATGATATTCGTAGACCTGCTCTTGTACTCAGCTTTCCTTTCAGCCTCGTGGTCGAAGAAAGCCCCGCGTCTCACATGTCTTTGGTGACCTCAGCGCCAGCACCGAGTCCGACGGCTCAACAGCAAAGATCCGATTCGTAGGCTCCGGGCTGCTCGTGCGACCAAACCTCTTCTACCCGCATCACTCAATTTGCTCACCACCTGCACACGAGTTGTTTGCATCATGCAAAACAAAAGGCCTGGGAAAAAGCGCAAGCGCCCCAAGAGCCTTCTGAACTCGCATGGCCACCTTTTCCGCCTGCTCCGGAGGAGGGGCCGCCTTCAGTCAGAAAACACTCACGTTAAACAAAAAGGTCGAAAGGCCTGGAGATGCAGACGTGACCCCGAGCCTCGGCCTGCCAAAGTCGCGCCCAGTTCTCGATGTTCCTGAGCACAAAGTCAGAGGCAGCAGCTGCCCATGTCAAGGGAAGAGGAGAGGACCGTGGAGGCGGAGGCGACTTGAAGCCAAGCATTGGCCAAGCATCTGAGAAGTGTTGGAAGCAAGGTCATCGAGGCCAGGGAAAACGGAGACTAAAGCCTGGCTTGATGTGATACCGATGCACATGCACAGAACGTTTGCATTCGGCCCTCAGGAGACGAGCACAAGGCCTCGATGAAAGGAGCGATCATAAACTCGATGAAGCCAATCTGCGAGTTCGCCCTGTGACGTGCAAAAGCTCTCGCATCAGGATCATCTAAGCTGTCCAACGAAGATTTCCACAGCCGTCACCGCCTGTTGACCTTGTCACGGTCGTTGAGCATCCCCACAGGGATGTTCAACTCCTTCTCACGGTCGCCCTGTGCAAAGAACTCGTCCATGCCTGTGCGAAGACAGGAACGTTGGGGCAGTGCTCAAGCTCCACCCAGCTGCTGAGACACATAGGTAGGCCAACTTCTTGGCAACGTGCCACGGCTTCGCGGGGTTGTTCACCTGAGTGAGTGCTGGCTGATGCTGCCATTACAATGAGCAGCCAGCTTCTTGCCAGGGTGCATCTGCTGAATGCAGCAGGCTGTTCATCAAGCCGCTGCGATTGGATTGTAGCAACTCCCGAACCTCCCGGCAAGTAGTTGCAGTGCTCCGACGGAGAAGGCGAAGGATTGCATGCGTCCTCCAGGGGCATCTCCCTCAGGCTAAGCGTGTCCGAGTTCACCTGGTAGAAAAGAGCCAAGTCCTGCCAATCGTGCAAACCTGCGCCGGCGCTGGGTTGCTAGGCTATCTTTGCGAGCTCCTTGACCATCTCGTTGTGCTTGGTCACATCGGTGTGGAGGATCGCCTGTCGGTTGACAGGGAAACAAGGAATACATGTTCACATCGTGACAAGAGGGTTCCCTGGCCTCTATCAGGTCCTTTCGCAGCTCCTTGTAGGTCTCCTGTAGGGGCTACGCGGCTACACCTATAGAAACACCGAATCCTGGGAGGAAACCTCCTGAAGAAGAAAAACTACCGACGCGCAGCAACAGGACCAAAACCGTCTCGGCGCCCAGGAGTCCAGAGGTTCTCATGCTGGAGGTTTTTGATACACCCCGGGAGGCCCCCGTTTCGGAACGGCGAAAAAAACACGCCACGCCAATGACTTCTGGCACCCGAATACGGTCGTAGTAACATAACACTATGGCATCACTATGGCAGCTATAGCAATGTCGTCGAAATACAACGATATCCCTGCAAGACTGCCACAAAAGCACAGTGCAGGCACGGTGATCAGTTGTGAAGGCCTTGTCCAGGGCCATGAATACGTTTGTCTCGGGCTGCCGGAGGATTTGGAAAAGCTTGGCACAGTGCATGTTCTCCAGCGGCGATCTGTCGTTGTATGTCACCGCCACCTCGTGGCGCGTCCTTGGCACACACGACGTACATTCCACAACAAAGCCTCGCAAGTTGAAAAAAAAAACCGTAAAGCCCCGGGCCCCGATAAACTCCCAAACCGGACCTCAGGGCCCGGCTCGACCAAGAAGGGATTATTCACCCCAGGGTGTCCCAGATCGTGACCCACGGCTGCCACGAGGAGCCCGAACCTGAGCTTTAAGAGCTTCGCTCCTTTTTCCCTGCTGCTTCTTGGGATATAGAAGGGGGGGGAAGTTCGGGTCTTAGGGTCTTCGATGCTTTAGGACGTTCTCTCTTCGGCTTCAGGGGTTTAAGACACCCTCGGGCCCTTGGCCCCACTCAGCGGTCGAGAGTTTGACAGCTAACAGGTCGAGTCTCTGCTCAACGTTGGACAGAAATAAAGGTGCCTGCGCAGGGGATATCCAGGCATCCACCCAGAATCCTTGATTGCAAACCCTGCGCCTGCGACTGCTCCAATTGAAGAGACAGTGAACATAAGACATCTAAACCGTGCCCGAAGTTGTGGAAGGGCACAGGCGAGTAGTTCCTGGGCTCAGCGACAAATTCTTCGAGACAGGGACCGCGCTGACCGAGAACATCAGCAAGGTGATGCCAGGACACGACTCTGCTGCATCCACAAAATGAATCAAGGTGGCGGGGTTGATCGACCCACGCACGAAGTCCTTCTACAGGGCAGCGCGTGCTCCAACGTGCTGTGGTTTTTGCAGGGCAGTGCCTAGAATGCTAGGCACGTGCTCCTTGCACCCCGGATTGTCGAGCAAATGGATTACACAGAGTGCCTCGCAGTTGAGGCAAACTTAGAACAGAGAAAAACTCGGCCCTCCATTGAGCCGTCCGGCCTTCTTCTGGCTCGAGGTGGGCTCCATGGGATTGAAGTCCTCAGTCCTGTTAACAGATCGACTCCTATTCACCCGGTTTCTACGTGTCAGATGCTCCTTATCAGCCAAGAGACTCCCCGCCGTGAAAAGCCAAAACACGTTCTTAAGGAAGCAGTTGTTCTTTCAGGCCGAAACATGAGATGATGAGCCTGCTCCGTGCGCATGCTCTTTATGCATGCTCTTTGCATTCCCCGATTCCTGGAAAGGACGAGCATCTCTGAGGGCACCTGCTGGTACATCGACTCGATGCCCACCACGTCCTGCAACAGCAAAACCCATCTAAGGATGCGCTGGGAGTGTACAGGTGAAGAGCGATGTGAATCGTTCGGCCTTCTGGCTGAACTGGTGCGATCGCATCCTTGTCGCAAGAGAATCACGTGCAGTTGAGTCTGCATTAATCCTCATTACAAGCAGCATGCGGGTTCCTTGTCGGCGATCAGTGCTTATTTCAAAAGCCCGCTCCGTAAGAGGCTCTCCCCTAGAAGCAGCGGCTCGAGCCTGGTTGGAACATTCTGGGTCCCGAAGTCCACCTCGTAGGTAATGAATCCTCGACCATGCGTCCAGTTCATCACCTGCTCAGAACTCGGGACCGGGACCAAGCATTTTTTGTCGCTGCAGCTCTGAACTTCTGAACCGACTGAACCTACTGTTTGCAGTAAGTTACAGGATGCACTGAGCATCGCACCAACAGGTCGTCCTCACTCAGCGGCTCCGTCTCCTGCAGGCAGGTTCTGGTCGAGGCTGTGATGCAGGGTTTGAGATGGTTGGGGCTTTCGTCCCGCAAGCCACACGGGGCTGATTTTTCGTCCTACGGGGACCATGGAGGCCGATGCAACACACTCGGAGGTGGCGTGCAACGGCGCTCTTTCGGCACATCAGCGGCAGACAAGCTCGCGATCGCTGACAGCTTGGATACGGCCTAGCAGGATGCTCGAAAGTCGAATCACAGCAACTCGAACCTGCCCCTAAGCTGACGAGGCTTGTCATCAACTGCTTGAGGCATCACCTTCTCGAGAAGCTCGAACTCGTTGCTCTGACTCTCCTGACCGCGTCGACGACAAATTTGTGCTTGGGACTGTGGCTGACCTGTCTATCTCTGCATTTCTCCTCTCGGGAGCACCTGTACACTCGAGCCTGACCAGTCGCACAGGCGCGGAAAAAGGGAAACGAGTGTTCTCCTGGCTACGTCGAATACGGGTGAAAGACATCCCAAATTCGCATCCTTTGCGGGCCGCCTTCATCACGCATGGAAAGCTGAAACTGTCGTTATTTTCAAGGGTGCAAACCCGGCCCCTTCTCGTCTTCGCAACACTCTGCCTCTCTCCCTCTCATTCTCTCGCTCGCTTGCTCGATTCGATTCCGAAATTCGGCAGTGCTAAACGGCCGACTTGAGAACTCGTCCTCGTGCTCGTCGTGGTGCTCGGACTCTTCTTCGACTTCGCTCTCAGAGCCCTCCTGGCGTTTATCCCGCAAAAACCATATTGAGGCCCTGGGGCACTGGCCGATTTCCGCCTGCAGCTCGGCGGTGTACTTGAAAATCTGAGCACATCTGTGTCGCACGACGTCCAGCA